TGCATTTTAGGCCTTTCTGTTTGTTTGTTTGTTTCCCAGCCCAACAACTAGCAAAAGGTAAAGTCTAAGTAGCTGAGTTCTTGAATCATGAGTATTATACTTCTCATATAAACAACAGAAAGAGAACAGTTTTGGAAATTTGATGTAATATCTGATTATCTTTAAATTTTCACCTTAATGTTGATATTGTTTAATTTATTTATTCTTGTGAAACAAATCCCTCCAAAACTTAGTGGCTTAAACAATAGTAATTTATGATTTCTCCTTTTTGTGTAGGTTGACTAGACAATCCTTCCCCTCTTCTTACCTGGACTTGTTCATGCTCAATCATTAGGATGAAGACTAGAAGAGCCACACTCTACCAACACAGGTTTCTAGGCCAGCCCGTAGAGGAGAAGAGACAAACTTCACCTATTGATGGCAGGAACAACTACCAGCAACGTCACATTGCAAAGAGATGAAATCAATTGGGAGATGTTATTGTAATATTCTACACCAACATATATGCTAAATACTCATACACTTAGTTTGGAATACTTTTAACTTTGCCTATGCACAGATCAACCAACTTTGAAAGCAGAATTTCATTCAATCCACCAGTAACATGCTAATCCCAACTGACACATCCTTGGCACAGAACTTCTTTCCTGTCCCTTTCAGAATTCTAGTTATCGTAAGTTTTGTGCTCAAAATATGGGCATGGCGGCAATTTCATCTGGGAAAACCTAGAGGAGTTCAGTTCATCATTATAAGTGAGTACAGATCCTTCTCAGTATGATTCATAAATATCTGTGAGTTTTAAAGCTCTTTGTAATAACATTAATTTAATCTGTAAAATGGCATTGCTTGCAATGAATTCCATTTACAAATCTGAATAGGCAATGAAGAAAAAGTGGTTGTGTCGTTGCAAATTTTTAATGGAGCAATGCAAAAAGAATGAAGCAATGGAAAACATGGAAATACCTTCTAGCTTCTACAAGGTCCTGCAAAGCTGTGACAGTAATGAAGATGGAGCTTGTTCAGATACATTTGCCCTTATGCCATTTACTGCCAGAGAGATGGTTATCTGCCTAAAAGTCTATTATTGATTATTCAATTTACTGTTCATATATTTAAATTTTATTCAGGTTGGAGTGATGTTGAAATTTGGGTTTCCCATCTTAGCATGCTACTGCTGTGGTTGACAACAAAAATGTTAAAATAAAATCATCTTCAGAGTATAAAGTGTCCATTGGAAGGGTAATTTCCATTCTGTGATTTATGGCTTCTTTTTAATATCTGATAATGCAATTATGCTTCAGCAGAGAATGAATCTTCTCTTCATAAAGTAAGCCATGTCCAGAATATTGATGATTTAAATAAAATAATATCATGGCTTTAAAAAGGGTTTTCATTTAGAGATTTTTTTTTTTTTTACTTGTAAATATCTATTATTCAAAGCTGGAGATCTTATCTCACTTTCTTCTCCAGGAATAAATGTTCAAGAATAAGCATTTGATTTTTAAATTGTTTAGTGTATTATTGTTAAAGTTTATCTTGCCACCACCCCCTATTGTGTGTGTGTATATATATATGTGCATGTGTGGGTGTGTGCGTGTGAGTGTGTGTTTTCCAGAAACAAAGAAGCATCTTAAAACTACTCAATACAAGCCCTAGCTGGTTTGGCTCAGTAGACAGAGTGCCGGCTGTGACTGAAGGGCTGAGGGTTCGATTCCAGTCAAGGGTATATACCTCGATTGCAAGCTTGGTCTCTAGCCCTGACCAGGGCCAAGTGTGGGAGGCAACCAATCAATGTATCACCCTCACATAGATGCTTCTGTCTCTGTCTCTCCTCCTTCCTTCCACTCTCTCTAAATATCAATGAAAAAATATCCTTGGGTGAGGATTAACAAACAAACAAACAAACAAACAAACAAAAAACTACTCAACACAATTAGAATCTTTTCTGAAATTTGACCGACATATTTCCTGGCTACCTATTTTTACCAACCTTCACACTAAACTTCTATGCAAGATGTATAACTTGAGGGGATATTTGATATGAAATTACAGTAATCACTTTCCCTCCTAAATTTAAGTTGTCAAGTCAAGTCATCTTCTTTATACTACCCTGAGTTACGTTCAGTGCTTTCTCATTCTTTGCTAACACAACATCTCATAAAATCACATAGGGTAACATAATATGACAGTTAATTTTTAAAAGACTTCCTGTTATATTTGAAATCCGACTGATGTTCCAATTTAATGGCAATAGATGATTAGGGAAGAAATGACATCCTCATTTCAGAGATATTTTTACTCCAATGTATTTTTAATGTTCTTATGTCCTTTATTATTTTGACAGGTTTTCAGAAACAGTTTTGTAAGCCCTTGTTTTGGGCCTGGTTTTTACAAAGAGAGACAGGGACATATTTAAACATGTCGAGAGTATATTATTATGACATATGACACTATTTGATGAAAAAAATTATTAAATAGGTAATTTGAGTACATTGTTGATCAAACTTTATACTTAAAATACCTGAAAAATAAATAGTATCATTTTCACTTAACTTTTTAGATGTTCTCCTTAGTAGCATGCAACCTGGACCGGCTCAGAACTCAAACAGTGACGATTTTGAAAAAGATCTGATGATGAGGCACTTGTCATTTAATGAGAAGGGTTCCTTCTGATATGTAAGCACATCAGAATATCTTTGATCTTTAGAAGCAGAGGACTAAAATTAAATAAGAAAAGATGCATAAGCAAGATTGAATGCTGATTTTCTAAAAATAAAATACTTACCGCCCCCACCCCGGACATTATAAGGGCCTTAGAATCCCTACGCAAACCACGCTTTTATAGAAAAGCAAACACACCTGGGTCCTTTTCGTGTAGTAATATTTTGTATATTGTAAAATGCTGGGAGCAGAGGCATTTGCGTATAGTTTAACATTCAATGTTCTCAAACATTTGTAGCATTTGTTCCCCCCTTTAATAGGCAAAAAGCTAAAGGTCTCTAAGATGAATGGACTCATCCACCCACAGAGTTAAGTGGCGATGTCAGCTGCTGAGATCCAAGCCCAATGATGAGGTCAAGTTGCTTCTACCTTACCACAGGTAGCGACGTGTGTTGGTCTGACCTTCTTCTCATAGTGTGCTTATCCTGGCTCATGATTAACTTTAAACTCCAAAAGGTATTTGTTTTAAATGTTTACAGCTGTACAACACTAATTACATTCTGTGTGTAGGTTTCTCACCCTTCTAATGTAGTGAAAATGTAAGTGCTAAAATGAACAGAAGTTATGAATCTCCTTTTGCAGGTGAAATTCTGAAGAGGCAGAATCTATAGGGGAAAATATACATCAAAACAATACAGAACTGCCTGGGTGGGTGGTGGGGCTTAGTGGTTGAGCATTGACCCATGAACCAGGAGATCACGGTTCTATTCCTGGTCAGGGCACACGCCCAGATTGTGGGCTCAATCCCCAGCAGGGGGCGTGCAGGAAGCAGCCCATCAATGATTCTTATCTTTGATGTTTCTATCTCTCTCTCCCTCTTCCTTTCTCTCTGAAATCAATAAAAATATACTTTAAAACAAACAAACAAACAAAAATCAATACAGAACTAAAATATCACCCGCTACTTACATTACAGTGCCTGAGGCATTTAAGGCATTTTACAAATCCAGTTTGATCCCAATGATCACTGCCCTCATTAACAATTTTTTTTTCTTCAGTTTATTAAAATTTATCAAATTTACAAATCACCTTTCTCTTAAACTTCAGAAAAATAAGCATTTAACAAACTCTTAACTAAACTTATTTATATATTTCAATTTCTAACAATCAAGACATCTTAGTTCAGTTGATTTTAATATCCTTAGATTTAAAATTTAAGTATTCTGCAAGTGTTTTATTTTATGCCACTGATCTACCAACAACTAACATTTTTTTTTGGCCTTTTAATTGTCTTTATTACCCAAAAAAAGCTTCATTTTAAAAATTTATTTAGTTTTCTGACTCTGTGCTTGTGCCTTCAACACTTTCACAATGATTTTCTGCTCCTCAATAAGGAAAGCACACTTGATCCTGTCACGGACACATTTAGCACACATGGATCCACCATAGGCCCTGCTGACATGTTTTTTCGTTTTAGACAACCTCATTAGAACTTTAATTCTCACAGCACAAACGCCTCTAAGTCGGCCTGGGCTCAGACCGCATGCAGATTTTGTTGCTTTCCCAAGCTTCTTGGTATAAAGGCAAACAATTCTATTACCAGGGATTCAGGACAGCCTAGTTTTGTTAGAGGCTGTACTGTAGGACAGCCTCCAACGGTATGTCAAATGCTGGACCGTGGTGAATGCCTGAAGTCACTGTCCCCGGAAGAGCCCACCAACTAACTTTTAAATAAATGTGCACTATGCTCTCTTGGATGCCCCACAAAACCCCCAATATAATAACAAAACCCTTAAGGTCCTATTTGATATGAACCTTATAAACAGCCACATGTCTAAAGGCTTCAAATATAAGAATTCTTCCTAAATTTCAAATCAGTTTACTCAATTTTTACCTCAAAATGTGATGTGTGACTAAAATTCATTCATCTCATTCCACATATTATAAAACAATTTTTATTTAACCCAGGAGTACTTAATATCCATATTTCAATAACTAAATGCTAAATACCAGATAACTACTAAAGTTATTCTAGTTACTTTCTTCTTTGTGCTATTCTTTGGTTTCAAAATCTTCTTCAATGTATGTGCATTAACTTTTATATTGCTTTAAAAAAATCCTTTGTATATCCAGCATGAGTGGTTATATTTTGCAAATGAAAAGCAGAATGAGATGTCTGAATGAGGGAGAAAATCTCCAACTCAGGTAACTTCACTCTAACTCAGGGGTCCTCAAACTTTTTAAACAGGGGGGACAGTTCACTGTCCCTCAGACCATTGGAGGGCCGGACTATAGTTTAAAAAAAACACTATGAACAAATTCCTATGCACACGGCACATATCTTATTTTGAAGTAAAAAAACAAAACGGGAACAAATACAATATTTGTATTTGCATGTGGCCCGCGGACCGTAGTTTGAGGACCCCTGCTCTAACTCATTCTTTTAACACTATTAATGGGTCCTAACATTCCCAGAAGTCAAAGATTTACAAGCAAGTACCAACAAGAAATTTGTAAAGAAGAGTGTTAGTTACATCTCTAAAGTTGATGGAAAACATAGGAGGAGGAGGAACCATAAGTAAGGTAACCAATAATGATTTCTCCCTCCCTTCTATCTTTAACTACAATGATTCTCACTTCAGAATATGAAAGATTAAAGAAATTTACTTCCTCCTCCTACATATTTTCCCCTACTCATCAGGCAACAAACAGGAGGATGAGAGGGCTGGTCTTGATATCCTTACAGGAATTATTTCTCCCTCTCCAGGGTGCAATCTATCCCAGTTTTCATTAATGTATGTCATAAGCTCAAGTTCAGAATCAAAGTATTTCTTCTTGTGAATAACACTTAGGTTGTAAAGGCATAAGTGTGCTATATCTACCCACTGTAATGGTAGACGTTTGAGGTATTCAGGTCCAGAACTGCAGACAGAGCAAATAAATGTATAAAACCTGTCTCCAAATAACATTGGCTTTTGAAGGCATTGCACACAAGCCTCGTGAAACCACTGCTTACATTTGCAGCACTGTAGCATCTTTAAATACCAGTCTCCAGGGCCTCCACAATAGCAGTAACATTGCTGGACATTGGTTTTATGACCTGCATCCCATTCAAGGTCTGCCACACTATAGGGTAATGTCTGCTTCATGACTTGCAATGCTTTGGCATTTGGTCCTTTCTTAAGCGCACCACCCCTCTTTGTTGTTGTTGCAAAAACACACTGTCGACAGAGCCATTTTTCATCTGAATCAATCACACTGGAATCAATGTGAGGTGTGTGACACAACTGATGATATCCTTGGCCACACTTATCACATATAACCATTTCATTGGGAGCTTCTGAATACTCTTCCTGACATATTGTACAGACCATTTCCCCACTTCCAGTGGCTCCTGTTTGGATGTCCTTCCAGAGAACCCAGGATTTAGAACTGTCTTCAAAAATGATGAAGCAGCTCTGTTTTAATATGTTTATCTTTTTGATAGTTCCAAGATAAAACAAGCCATCTGACCATCTAGCTAGGACATCCTGACCCTCTTCAAATTTACATACTGGCTTTTTGACTTTATATCCATCCTGTAAAGACAGCTTGGTCAAGGATGTTGGGGTCTTTTGGTTTCGACGTAAAGGAGACCGCTTGTGGACCAGTGAATTGCCTGCCCCTGTAGAGTCTCTCATTCGGTCACTTCAGTGGTGCCAACCGCTTCATACAGGAAAAAACAACCAAGCACGTCCCCGTGGGCGCTTCCCCTGCGAGTCCGAGCGCTGGCCGGGCACCCTCCCCGACGGGCACCCCGCACAGACAACACGCACAAACCACGGTCCTGAGGACGAGCGACGGGGGTCAGCGCGAGCGTTCCCACACCGGCCTTAAACACAGCCAGCTTCGCTACAGCCCTTCGCCATTCTGGTTTCCCGCGGACTCCCTCATTAACAATTTCTACTACACTGGAGGGGGAATGACTGTGCCTTCTACTCAGGTATCATAAATCTGTGACATAGCTGATGTTTGTGGAACACAATAGACAATTGGGAAATGAGGTATAGCAAGGCAATGGGAAAATGGGAGAACTGGAAAGTACACTCATCACTTGACATTATTAAAAGGGAAAAAGCCTCTCTCCTAGCGTCACTAACATCTTCCACGAGACAGGGTCTGCCATGGCTACATTTGGAGACACCTGCTTCTCTTTCTCCATGTTTGCCATGTTTAACGTTGTAAATGTGTTCAATTATTGTAATTGGTCCCTTTCAAGTTTTGTTCACTGAATCAGAAAATTAACACCTCAATAATGTTTGTAGTGTTAAGAGAACAGTTACCAATTTTACAAATGTTTATATCTATTTTAGTTTTTTTTCTCCAAACTTGATTGCTTAAATAGTCTAAATATAGTAGCTATCATTTCAGAAGCACCTCCACAGTTATTGCTACTCTCAAGGTATGCTTTTTACTCATGATGTCATTTACCTCTCATTACAAGTAATATTATCTATAATAATAAAAGTATAATATGCTAATTAGACTAGATGTCCCCCATATGACCTTCTGGATGAAGCTGGGGCTTTGAGGGAAGCCAGGGTCCCGGGTGCCTGTGGGCAGCTGGAGGGAAGCCGGTGCCAGCAGCCGGGGAAAGGAAGGCCTACTCTTGCATGAATTTCATGCATTGGGCCTCTAGTATACACATAATGGAATACTATTCAGCCTTAAAAAAGAAGGAACTCTTGCCATGTGTGACAACATGGATGAACTTGGAGGACATCATGCTAAGTAAAATAATCCACTTATACAGAAGCACAAACACTGCATAATTCTATGTATACCAGGTGTCTAAACTAGTCAAACTCATGGATGCAATAAAATAGAACTGTTGTTTCAGGGGCTGGGTGAAGGGGGAAACAGAGGTTTATTAGTCAACAGGTATAATTTTACTTGTGCAAGATGAGTAAATTCTAGAGATCTGCTCTGCCAAATAGCGCCTGGAGATAATACTTAAAATTTTGTTAAGAGGGTAGATCTCATGCTAAGTGTTATTACCACAATAAAATAAATAATCAAATATATTCTTCATTTTAAATAGAAAGAAGCAGAGACTAAGAGATGTCAAAAAAATGTCCCAAGATTATATAGAGAGTAACCGGTAATCCAGGGCACACTGTATCAGTTAAGTGTTCAAGACAAATATAAACAGAAACTATAGATAAAGATTATAATATTATATAATTATTATACACATGGTACATATTATGACAAATACAATATATATGGAGAGAGAGAAAGAGAGAGATTGAGTTTAAGAAAATGGCCTATGTGATTGTTGGGGGCCTGACAAGTCCTAAATCAACAGCATACAACTACGGGCTGGAAAGTCAGGTAAAATTTGAAGTTACAGTCTTGAGTCCTAAATCTATACATAAGACATCAGGGTGGAAGCTCAGAAAAGGATGTCTATGTTACAATGTGGAGGTAGAATCCCTTCTAAGAAACCTGATTGGATGAGGTTCATCTACATAATTTCAGGTAATGTCATTAAAGTCAATGTGAATCACATCTGCAAAATACCTTCACAGCATCATCTAGATAGTTACTTCCAAATAACTGAGCATTTTAGCCAAGGTGACAGTTAAGTTCAAGCATAATAACACCTAAAAAACAAAACCATGTGCTAAAGAGTCACATAACAATGTTTTCAGTATGGTAAGTTTCTGAAGTTCAATATCCAATTATGGAACGTAGGTTGTTGGCTTTTCAATTATGTATGTACTTCAATGCATTTTTAAATTATGTGGTAAATATACATGTGTATATGTGTACACATATGAATTCTGTATATATGTATGAATCAGTATATATAACTGATTCAGACTCAGACTAGTATACTAACTGATTCAGACTCAGACAGGTCTATCATAATTAATAACTTTATTAAAAATTAAATATTATTAAAATTATGTTTTTAAAATCAAATTCTGTTTAGACAAATTTCATGAATTAGTAACTTATAGTACTTTTATGATCAATACTACATAAAATGTTTTATGTCAAATCATTCTATACATTAAATTTTTCTATCTATTTTCTTCAGGTTTTTATCTATGTGTCATATAAACTTTTTATTGACTCGTATTTGACCTGCTTAGGTTAATGCATAGAATCACGAATTAAACTTGATATTCAGCCCTGGCTGGTTCGGCCAAGTGGTTGGATCATTGGCCTGTGGACTGAAGGGCCGAGGATTTGAATCTGGTCAAGGGCACATGCCTCCTTAGCAGGCTCAATCCCCCATCTCCAGCCTCCGTCAGGGTACCTGCAGGAGGCAACAAATTGATGTCTCTCTCTCTCTCTCTCTCTCTCTCTTTCTCTCTCTCTCTTCCTTCCTTTATCTCTTCCTCCTCTCTCTACCCCTTCCTGATATTTTTATTTATTTTTTTAAATTTTTTTTATTATTGCTTAAAGTAATACAAAGGGTATTACATATGTGTCCATCCCCCCCCCCCGCCCTAGACAGTCCCCTAGCCTCCCCTATCCCCCAGTGTCTTATATCCATTGGTTATGCTTTATGCATGCATACAAGTCCTTTGGTTGATCTCTTACCCCCCTAACTCCTGTCCCTCAACCCTCCCCTTCCTGATATTGGGTAAAAACTTAAATTTGGTTATTTCTGAAAATTGACCAATTCTCAAATAGTGGCAAATAAAAAAAATCATTACAACTTATGTTTATAATTCAAAGGATAAAATACCCTTTAATATTTTTTTCCAAAAACTCTGCTTGTGTAGACGTATCTATAATATTAAATTTTTATGTAATTGTAATTTCTTAAAAATGTTTTTCCCCCAATCATTTGTTAAAATTCATAATTTTTAGATCACATTTTGTTTAGTTATTTTATGACCTTATGTAATCTGTAAAAATTTTTCTTTGATCAATTTAATATTTCAGTAGTGAAATTTGGTGATATTGTAATTATAGTTAATACCTTAGTTAATATATTATAATAACTACTTTAATTCACTGGAAAAATGTGTTAATATTTTTATTAAAACTGAGACAAACATCTTAGAAGCTGTCAATAGTCAGAGACATTTGCTATAATAAGTTATTTCTGTGATAATTATTACAAAAATATGGACCTTAAAAATATTATGTAAATTTTAAGTGACAAAGTCACACAGCTGAGAAATTACACCACAGTTGCTCATTAACAAGTCTACATTAATGTAAATCTCTTTAAAGATTTATTTTCTCATTGTTTTGAAGAACAGTAACTTTACTGATGTATTAATGACCTAATTGTGACTAGCCAATCCCATTTTTATTTGAAGGATTGTTCCCTTGATTCATTCAAGAAATATTGCATGTGGGAAAAAGAATTTGGATTGATGGGCAAGAATTGTAATCAGCACATACAGATTTATGAGTTGAGGGAATAATGTGATTATGCAAAGAAAAATGAAATGATGCTTATGGGCCATTGATGAACAACACGGGGTATTTGTATTTAGTATGTCATGGATATGGAAGGTAGCAGGAAGAATATTTTATGAAATGCTCATTGTCTTTTAAGTTCATAAGAGTCATAGTAATTGAACTCTGTGTGCTGGGCTTTTAAGGAGGGTATTTTCTATTGTCAGTGACATTCAAATGCACTATTGAGGTAGCAGAATCTTTCTTCAGAGATTCTCCAGACTCATATATCTAAGCAATTTTAGTCCCCAGCAGTACCACTTTTATAGGATTATATTGTTCTGTAAATCATTGTTCAGGGTTTCAGGAACCAAAAATTAATGCTATCTGATAATTCCTGAGATAGATAATCACCCAAATAATTTGAGTTGAATATCTGAATATGAACAAATTATCCAAAACTTAATGCATAAGGTTGGAATTTAAGTTGTCTCAATAATACAAAATCTGATCATCATGTAAAAGAACACATGCTTTAAGCTTAGCACAAGAAGATGAATAAATGTGAAAATTAAATATGTAAATCTATATTAGTGTAAAATATGCAACATATATTATATATTTTTTTATTCAAGGTAAAAGAAAAATAAGATGGCCTCTGGGTAGTTGTGCAGTAGTCCTCCTTTTCCTCTTTCAGCTGGATTTTATTTCTTTCATCTAAAAGTACCCAATATAAAGAAACTAGCATACTCAGAGACCTGTAGGTATGAAAAATGGGTTCAATTTTGCACTCATTAGCTAATTAACAGGGACTACATTTGCAACTATTGTAGTGTCCTGGGAGTAAACTGATAGAAAGTGTTGATGAAGGGAAATTCCACCAGTATGTGGGAGCTTCATTTCCTCCATAGCTTTTCCAGCATTAGCAGTGGTGTTAGAACTGGTAATTAGGTGAAAACTCAAAGAATTTTGACAAGCATCTTAGAGAAAGCCTAAATTGCCCTGAGCAGATTGTTGGGAGATATCTAGATGTTGAAGATGCTGTTGGTAAGGGCTCAGAAGCAAGTGAGGAACATGTTACTGAAAATTGAAGTTACAGGGATTCTTGCTACAGGGTGGCAGAATTCTTAATGTGTTTGCCTCCTGCAGTTCTTGTAAGTACTAAGTTTGGTTGTATTAGTGAAAAGGTTTCCTATTGAAGGTGGTCATAGTTTCTTTTTGCTGCTTACAGGAATATGAGACAAACTGAGGTAAGGAGTGTTAAGGAAAAGAAATGAGACTGGGTGCTTTCGAATATTCTCAGCCTGTTTATATGGCAAAGTACAACAAATAAGAGATTCACTGTAAGGACAGCACCCTAGAGAAAAGCTGAGAGTATGACTCTAGAACCTTCTATCAAAACCTCAAAAAGTTAGATTATTCAATCATGCAGAGGGCACTTACAAGAGATTAAGATTGTACGTGAGAGGTCCTCTCAAACAAACCCTAGGATCTCT